ACCACCACCTAATGTCCACAGCCCGGTCCTACAGAATTCCCATTCCGCAGACGGGCGGCGCGGTTGGGGTTAACGGTGGGGGTCCGACTGTGCACCTCTTGTGTTTGTGAGGTTCGAGAAGATGATCAGTGGGATGTACATGGGCGAGCTGGTGCGCCTCATCCTGGTGAAGATGGCCAAGGAGGGGCTCCTCTTCCGAGGGAAGCTCTCTTCGGATCTGCGCACCACTGGACACTTTGAGACCAGATTTGTCTCTGCTATCGAGAAGTGAGCGGGGGCTGGGTGTCTTTGTGGGGTCCCACACACCACCCACCAGCTGGGGGAAGTGCTGGGCCCACAGCGGATTTCCAGGCACAGACATCTTCTGTTCTTCGGTGTGCAGGGAGAAAGAGGGGCTGCAGAAAGCCCACGAGATCCTCACCAAACTGGGCCTGGAGCCGTCCCATGAGGACTGCCTGGCCACCCACCGCATCTGCCAGATCGTTTCCACCCGCTCGGCCAACCTCTGCGGGGCCACGCTGGCCGCCGTGCTGCGCCGCATCAAGGAGAACAAGGGGGTGGACCGGCTGCGCTCCACCGTCGGTGTGGATGGCTCTGTCTACAAGAAGCACCCTCAGTAAGTCCTCGAGGCAACGGGGAGCTGGAGGAGGTCTGGCCTCAGGGTGGGGGCCCATGGGCGCCTCCATTGGATCCCACTTGTTGGCCATCTCAGAGGAAGTCTGGCCTCACGATGATGCCCTGTTGGCATCTCTGTTGGATCCCGTCATTGGATCCCATCTCCATTGGATCCCATTTGTTGGCCCTCACAGAGGAGGTCTGACCTCGTGCTGGGTCCCGTGGGCACCTCCACTGGATCCCATTTGTTGTCCATCTCATCTGGCCTTGTGGTGGTCCGGGGGCACCTCCACTGGATCCCAAAGCCCACGTGGGCCATCTCAGAGTCTGACGCGACCTGTGACGGCACGCTCAAGCCGCCTTCTTCCTCCTCCTCCTCCTCCTCCTCTCCCATAGCTTTGCCCGACGCCTCCATAAGACAGTGAGGAAGCTGCTGCCTGACTGCGAGATCCGATTTGTGAGGTCGGAAGACGGCAGCGGCAAAGGGGCGGCCATGGTGACGGCGGTGGCCTACAGGCTGGCAGCCCAGCACAAGGCCCGGCAGAAGATCCTGGAGGCACTGAAGCTGAGCCACGAGCAGCTCCTGGAGGTGAAGCGGAGGATGAGGGTTGAGATGGAGAAGGGGCTGGGCAAGGATACGCATGCGGAGGCCACAGTGAAGATGCTGCCCACATACGTGTGCTCAACTCCAGACGGGACAGGTGAGGGCGCCTTCATGTCCTCGTATGGCACAGAGCTCCCAGTGTCTGTGCCACGGAGGCGCCGTTGTTCCCCTCGGTGGGGAGCAGCACCGCAGTTCCAAAGCTCTGGGGTGCCGATGCTGAGCCCCCAGAAGATCCCGCACCCAACGCAGCGCCCTTGGCTGGGAAATGGCACCTCCACCTTCTCCGCCGTGGTTTCTCCCCTCCGTGCTTACGGTGCTCCCTGTTGAGCTCTCTCCCCTCACGACCCTCTCCCGGCTTTTAGAAAAAGGAGATTTCCTCGCCCTGGATCTGGGTGGGACGAACTTCCGCGTGCTGCTGGTGCGGGTGCGGAATGGCATGCGGCGCGGTGTGGAGATGCACAACAAGATCTACTCCATCCCGCTGGAGGTGATGCAGGGGACAGGCGAGGAGGTGAGTCCACCCGCCGTCCCATCCCACACACCCGACGAGGGCAGATGAGCATCACTTCCCCACCAGGGAAACGGCACAGGTTGCGCTCTGAGCATCTCTGATGGCTTTGGGGCGTTGCTGGGATTGGGGTCAGGGGGCTCCGGGGTGCCCCACAAAGGGAGGACGGCATCCCACGGGTGGGAGCGCTGCCCGCGGGGACGTGGAGGAGCCTGCAGTGCACGGCACACGCGGTGACTGCGCCCTCCTGCCCTCACTCTGCACATCCAGCTCTTCGACCACATTGTGCACTGCATCTCCGACTTCCTGGAGTACATGGGGATGAAGGGAGTGTCGCTCCCGCTGGGCTTCACCTTCTCCTTCCCATGCAGGCAGACCAACCTGGACGAGGTGAGCCCGGCACTGGCAGGATCCTGAGTGTGTCCCTGAGATTTGGGGGCTGTGGGGCGCTCCTGGCCCAACCCGCTCACCCCGACCCTCTTTTCTCCCTCCAGGGGATTCTCCTCAAGTGGACAAAGGGTTTCAAAGCCACGGGCTGTGAAGGGGAGGACGTGGTGAGCCTGCTGAAGGAGGCCATCCACCGCCGAGAGGTGAGCGGGGCAGCTCTGCTGGGAACGAATGGGCTGAGCGTTGGGATGTCAGCCACCGCCCTCAGTCATCACACGGGGTGGATTGCCAGAGCCTGGAGCTAGGAGCCGAGCAGTGCTGCCCTCCACCCATCCCCCCCATCATCTCCGTGTGGGAAACCACCCAACCAACCCTTCCCTTCCAGGAGTTCGACCTGGACGTGGTGGCGGTGGTGAACGACACGGTGGGCACCATGATGACCTGCGGCTACGAAGACCCCTACTGCGAAGTCGGGCTGATAGTCGGTGAGCGCTGCGCCTTTCCCTGCCCCACGGGGGGACGCCCTCCCCCTGAGCCCCATTGAGACCCTTCCCCCCCCCACAGGAACGGGCAGCAACGCCTGCTACATGGAGGAGATGCGGAACGTGGAGCTGGTGGAGGGCGACGAGGGCCGCATGTGTGTCAACATGGAGTGGGGCGCGTTTGGGGACAACGGCTGCTTGGATGACATCCAGACCGAGTTTGATTTGGCTGTGGACGAACTGTCCCTCAACCCTGGGAAGCAGAGGTGCGTGGTGGTAACGCTGGGGCTGGGAGGAGCGCTCCCTGCCCTGCAGAGCCCCGATGGTGCTGGACCATAGAGACGGCGCTGGGTGCCATGGGCTGGGCAGGGCTGTCCCCTCCACCCTCGAGTGTCAACGCTCGGCCCTGCCGTCCCCACTCCAGGTTTGAGAAGATGATCAGCGGGATGTACCTGGGGGAGATCGTCCGCAACATCCTGATCAACTTCACCAAGCGAGGGCTGCTGTTCCGCGGCCGCATCTCCGAGCGCCTGAAGACCAGGGGGATCTTTGAGACAAAGTTCCTGTCCCAGATAGAAAGGTGAGGACGTGACTGTGGCCATCCTGCTGCGTTTTGGGGGGGTCCTGGGTGCTCATTGCCAGGGCGATACGGTGTGAGGAATGGAGTGCATCCACCCCGGGCATCCCTCCGGTTGGCGCAAGCCACGGCTCCACGGGTGCCACAGGACACCCGGACCTGGGGGGAGACCTCCTAACCGTGTGCCCCCCGCCCCGCAGCGACTGCCTGGCCCTGCTGCAGGTGCGCTCCATCCTCCAGCATCTGGGCCTGGAGAGCACGTGTGACGACAGCATCATCGTCAAGGAGGTGTGCACCGTGGTGGCCCGGCGCGCCGCGCAGCTCTGCGGAGCCGGAATGGCCGCCGTGGTGGATAAAATCCGTGAGAATCGCGGGCTGGATTTCCTCAAGGTGACGGTTGGCGTGGATGGGACGCTCTACAAACTGCACCCACAGTGAGTGCCCACAGGGGACGGAGGAGCAGGGAGGTGGGCTGTGGGCTGAGCTCGGCTGGGGGTTCTGCGGTGAAGCTCTGCCCCTTCCTGTGGAGAGCACACAGAGGCCAAGGGTGCAGGGATGAGCATGCGCTGGGCTCAGGGCTCCACGGTGAAGCATATGAAGGGCTGAGGGCTCTGTAGTGCATTGCACTCAGGGCTGTGCAGTGGAGCATACAAAGGACTCACGGCTCCATAGCGGATCATGCATCGGGCTCAGGGCTCCATGGTGGGGCTGCACGGGGGCCCCTGAGACTCCGGTTGGGTGCTGGCCTTGAATCAGGGCTGGCAGGCAGAACACGGGCTGTGTTCTGTGCCCGGCTCCCAGCACTCCCACGTTGTGTTGGGTGTTGGCGTGGGACGGCATCGGCTGCACCGCAGGACGGCTCTGATGGCTTCCTCCTCCTCCTCCTCCTCTCCTCCTCCTCCTCCTCCTCCTCCTCCTCCTCCTCCTCCCGCAGCTTCTCGGCCATCATGCAGGACACGGTGAGGCAGCTGTCCCCGTGCTGCGAGGTGACCTTCCTGCAGTCAGAGGACGGCAGCGGCAAAGGAGCGGCGCTGATCACGGCCGTGGCGTGCCGGATCCGCGAGGCCGGGCAGCGGTAGGGGCAGCTCGGAGCCCAGAGCTCTGCGCCCGACGGACGATTCCTTCCCCGCTCCCTCCCCCCTACACACACACACACACGGGGCCCTCCCCCCTTCGCTTTCCTCGTGGGACACCAAGGCCGTGTCCCGCTCAACCCCAAACCACTCACGTGTCCCCCGACGGCACAAAGGATCCGCACGGAGCAGAGCCTTCTGATGCCGCATCCCGCCCCGTAGGGCCGGCCTTTCCCTGGACACCCCCAGGTCTGTTTTCCCCCCCCCTTCCCCCATCACCTGCACAGGTGGGGAAGCACTGGGGACGGGGGTCCCGTTGCATCACCCGGCGTCGCGGTCCCGCGTCACCTCGCCGTGTCCTTTAGCGGTGGCACCGAATCTTCCTTTCTCTTTGTCGTTTTTTCCCTTAATTTAACGTTTCCTTGGGGTCAGACTGGAGAACCCGACATTGCGGGGCGGGGTGGGGGCGCTTTGCTTGTCCCCAAAGGGAAAATATGGGGGGAAGGGATGCGCCGCAGCCCCCGAGCACGGTGTGGGGCAGAGCTGCGCTCACGGAGGACGGAGCTCTCAGGGGACTCCTTTGCGTCGGCACTGCGCTCTCGGGGTTGAAATGAAGAAGGGAAGCTGAAGTCGCAGCTGTCAAATGAAGGGAAGGACGGACGGAGCCGGGGGGCGCTCAGAGCTCAGCCCGGCCCCCCCGGCCCGAGTCGGATCCAAGCCAAAGACGGTGGGGCTGCGAGCAGCGGAGCTGCGCCTGCTGTTCTCCTCTCGTGTTTACACTATTTATTTTTAGCCGTGATAGATAGAGAGATAGAGAGGCTTCCTTATTTTTGTACTTTTCGTACCGGTTTCCCTGGCAGTGTGGTGGTGGTGTTGTACTCCTCGGCTCCCCCCAATAAAAACGTGGAACCGACTGAGCTCCGTTTGCTGGGCTGTGCTGAGCCATGGAAGCCACGGCACAAGGCGGGGGGGCGACGGGCAGCATTCCTCCTGACCCCAATTCTGGGCTGCCTCCCCCCACGCTCCTCATCACCAGCTCCAAGCAGGGTGTTTGGTTTGGTTTTTTTTTTTTTTTTTTTAAAATTTTTTTTTTTTTTTTTTTGACAATATTAAAAAAAAACAAAAAGACGCTGTTGAGAGGACGGACGACGTCCCCTCTGGGAATGCAAAAAACTGGGCTGTAAATTCCCAACGCCAACAACAGTCCAACGTTAAAAAAAATAAACAACACAAAGGAACGAAGGCGCTGAGCCCTCAGCACCCCAAGGGGCCGGCGCAAAGGCACTCCGTGGTCACAGTGTTCCTGAGCGAAAGCAGGCTGGGTTCCCCCCATGGTGGATGTGTGAGCTGCTCCCAGCACGGTGCTGGGGGGCAGTGGAGTGGCTGCGGGCACCTGCAGCGGTGGAGCAATGCAGGAGCAATGCAGGACGGGCTCCGGGTTGCAGCGATGCGCTCAGTGCTGATCTGCGCCCTCCGACGCCGCTGTGCCGCCCGCCTTCTTCTCCAGCGACGTGTAGAGGAAATTGCAGCAGATGTAGAGGGGGAAGACGAGCAGGCGGCTGTCCAGGTTCATCACCACCTGCTCCTGGGGCGGCACACGGAGCTGTGAGCAGTGCCAGCACCCAGCACCGGGGCACTGCCCCCCCCAGAGCTGCTCGCCTCCCTTTGGTGGCACCCATAAAGTGTTCTCGAGGTACTCCAGCTCTCGGTGCTGCCCGTTGGCGTCGCACATCCCCAGCCATGAGAGGAGGCCGCCCTCGAGCAGACATTCCCTTCACATCGTTAAGTTTGCAACAGCAGAGTCCTTATGGAAACACCTCTGCCCCCAAGCACAGGGGAACCCCACTGGCGCAGGGGGATGGAGTGGCATCGCAGCTCTGACCTCGTTAAGCCACGTTAATGAGACCCCCGGCACCCCAGCCCAGCTTTCCCCCTGCACGGTGCTCTGCATCCCGCACCAGGGCACAGCGCCCCAGCTTACCTGGTCCTTCTCCAGGCTCAGGATCTGATACCCCGTGGTCCTGCTGCAGATTATTTTCCCGCTGCTGTCAAAGGAGGCGAGGCGCAGCCTATGGATGCGAGGCAGGGAAGGGGCTCAGCGCCCTCCTGTTCTGCCACCGCAAAGGGGCTCCTTGCAGCGCAGGAGGGAAGGCCTCGTCAGCCCAGTCCTGTGCTCAGGGAGGTACCTGAAGGCGATGCTGCGCCGGGGCTGCAGGCTGACAGAGCCGCTGCAGGGCTGGTTGAGCGTGTTCCGCTTGAAGATGATGTAACGATTGGTGTAAGTGATGAGGAGGTCGAAGCCGAAGTTGAAGCCGGTCCAACGCCAGCAGTACTGCAGGGAACGGCCGTGGAGCGCCCAGAGCCACAGCGCACAGCCAGCCCCGTCCTGGCAGCTCTCCCTCCCCTGCCCCCCATGTTTGGAGCACACTTACGTCGCCGTCCTGCGCGAGCTTCCGCCCGCACCTCATGCTGCTTCCCTCCAGCTCCTCCTTGTTGATCTCTTGGGGCCTGCCAGCAAACAGAACAGCAGCACAGTGCACCAGCGCGCCTTGGGATGCGTAGGAGCTCCCAGCGTCGCCTGTGTGGGTTGCAGCTTACTGCCAGCCCCCAGCCCCCCTCTCCAAGGACACCTCCAGAGATTTTGGGGTCCGACTGTTGCAATGAACCAGGCGCTGAAGGGGCTGAGCCAACAGGCCGGGCCTGCCCAGCACAGCGCCCAGCTGGCTGCCGCTGGGTGAAACAGGCACAGATCAGCGCCTGCGTGACGGAGCTCCGCTCCCAGCGCTGCCCCACTTCTCCTCCAGCCAAGGGGCTGCGCTGGATCCCAGGTGGGCACGAGGTGGCGCCCATGTGGGACCGCTGCCCCCCACCCCAAAAAAGAACACCACACCGTGTGGTCTTTATGAGAAATAAGCAGAGCAAATCCTGCCGTGTACGCACCCAGTGTCGCTGTCCTGTTCCACTCGCAGCATGGCAAACCACTGCTGTTTGTACACGGAGGACAGCCATCCTGCAAAGCAAGAACAACAGCTGGCAACCAGCGCGTGCTGAGCACAGCCCGAGGGCAGCAGCGAGGTTGCGCTGGCCCTAAGAGGTTCATTAGAGATAAAGCACGGGGTGTGGGAGCCCTCCTGGCCGATAGCAGCAAGGCCGCGTCCCGGAGCACACTGTGCTCAGGGGGGGTGGATGGGGGAATGCCAGAAGCACTCCTGCAGGCAGCAGGGAGGAGTGGGATGAATGCATACAAGGAAAGCAAATCAGGCCTCATTTACACCTCTTTTTGGGTGGAATTTCCTGATCTTAACACCTCCCCTGGCTGCAAACAGATAAGGGCAGACAGCAAAGCCTCGAGCAGATCTCGCCGCGCAGGGCTGCTCCTCCTTCCCCCGCTCCCTGCAGCTCAGCACTGGGGTGTTGCAATTCACAACCAGCGCTGCAGGAAGCAGCAGATCCCTCCCGCATGACCGCACGCCCCTCCGCCTCTCCCACCGCGGACTACAAAGCGGGTGAGCGCGGCACAGGGGCCGCTCAGCTGTGAGAAAGCAAACAACGGCTCTGCCGTGCTGGGAGCCGTGCCAGAACCGTGGGCTCTTTTACACCAAGCACGAGGAAATGGGCTTCAAAGCCACAATGGGAACGGGAGCGACCCCAGAACGGCTCGCGCTGTGCCGCACGAGGTGAGCCGCCCGCAGGCTCTGCGCCGCAGGGACAAAACGTTCCACCCCACGTCTGTTTTGCAACAAGCTTTGATGCACACGGAAGGAGCCCACGGCTCCACGTGGCACCGCGGGTGAGGGTTTGCGGAGTGAAGGCGTGCAGGAAGCGCCAGCAGCTGCCCCGAGCACGGCGCGGGACGGGAGGCGCCTGCTGTGACTCCCGGATGTGGGTCGCAGGGCTGGCAGAGCAGAGCGGCGTGCGCTGCTCGCTGCCTCCCTCCCTCGCGGCGCTCTGCCTCCACCTGCTGCTCCCACAGCGCTCAGCACGCGGAGAGCCGCAACCGAGCTGCAGGGCAGCAGCTGGGCAGGAGGCATCTGTGGATGGTGTGAGCGCACAGCGATCCCAGGTGCGAGTATGGACACAAATAGCAGGGGCAGGGTTAGGGGTTGGGGTTAGGATTAGGGTTAGGATTAGGATTAGGGGTTGGGGTTAGGATTAGGGTTAGGATTAGGGTTAGGATTAGGGTTAGGGTTAGGATTAGGGTTAGGATTAGGGTTAGGGTTAGGATTAGGGTTAGGATTAGGGTTAGGGTTAGGATTAGGGTTAGGGTCGCAGGGCTGGCAGAGCTGCGCGCGCTGCTCGCTGCCTCCCTCACGGCGCTCTGCCTCCACGCAGCTCCGCTCTGCCAGAGCAAAGAGCAGCCCCAGGTACAACCTGCTAGGGCACTGACCTGGACACAAAGATGTCAAGGAGCTACAGACTGAAAATGACACATTTCAGTGAGATGCAGTGTTTCTGCGATGCCCAGCCACTGCATCACCCCTAAACGGGTGCCACTGAGATGCAGGCATGCTGCGCACACAAAGAATCACAATCACAGAACGGCCAGGGTTGGAAGGGACCTCAAGGATGATGAATCTCCAACCCCCCCCGCCTCATGCAGGGCCACCAACCTCCCCATTTAATGCTGAACCAGGCTGCCCAGGGCCCCATCCAACCTGGCCTTGACCACCTCCAAGGACGGGGCATCACAGCCTCTCTGGGCAGCTGTTCCAGCACCTCATCACTCTGGGTAAAGAATTTCCCCCTGAAGACCTGTCCAAGAGCTGAGATGCCAAACTCGAGGTGAGGGACCAGCCTGGGGAGGGGAATTCTGCAGCGGGAGACCTGAGGCACTGCTGTGAGGAGCAGGGGGAGGGATGATGGAGGGGAGGAGCGAGGGGAGACGTCCTGTGCCATCAGGTGGCCCTGCGTGAGGCAGGGGGTTGGAGATTCATCATCCTTGAGGTCCCTCCCAACCCCGGCCATTCTGTGATCAGAGGTTCGAATGGCAGCAGTGCTAATGAGGAATGTTTTCAGGTTCTCCACTTGATAAATTGCTTCCAGGCTTGCAGCTTCCAAGCAAAGAAGGAAGCCGCAGGTGAGCCCAGCCCTCAGCAGCCAGGCGTGAGCAGAATGGGTGTTTTTATCACGTTTTATCATTTTTATCAACTTATGATAACATAACGCCGAGCGATAACAGCACTGAATGCAGTTCCACCCTGCGGGCAGCAGGCCCACAGCAGCACATCGCCCTAAGGAGGGCAAAGTGCAAACAGAACAAGCACCCAACCTCCCCCCGGGCGCCAAACGCTCACCTGGGGGGATGAGGGCGTCCCTCTCCACAATCCGTGCCGACGCCAGGTCGCTGATGATGTACTGCAGGCGCAGGTGAGCGAACACGGGCCGGAAGGCAGCGCCCTGCTCCAGCTCCAGGAATGCAGCATCACCCTCCAGCTCTGTGGGACAGAGTTTCCCTGTGCTCAGCACTGGTGAGGCCGCACCTCGAGTGCTGTGTCCAGTTTTGGGCCCCTCACTGCAAGAAAGAGGCCCTGGAAGGTGTTCAAAGGAGGGCAATGAAATGGTGAGGGGTCTGGAGCACAGGACTGATGAGGGGAGACTGAAGGAGCTGGGATGTTCAGCCTGGAGAAGAGGAGCTCAGGGCAGAGCTCACTGCTCCCTATGGCTGCTGAGGGGAGGCTGCAGGGAGCTGGGGGCGGCCTCTGCTCTGTGCCATCAGTGATGGGAGCAGAGGGAACGGCTTCAAGCTGCGGCAGGGGAGATTCAGGCTGGCCGTGAGGCTGTGTGACTGTCAGAAAGGTCAGGCACTGCAGTGGATGCACAGGGAGGTGGGGGAGGCACCGAGCCTGGGGTGTGGAAGGAAAGGCTGGATGCTGTGCTGAGGGACGGGGGTCAGTGGAGCTGCTGGTGACGGTTGGACTGGAGGAGCTTTGGGGCCTTTTCCAACCTCGGTGATTCTCTCATTCTATGACAGCACAGCTGTACACACCATTCTGCTACAGACCCTGTCTGTACATGACGTGCAGCTTTTCGTTCACCACTCTGCGGTGGCTCCGTGTCAAAGATGACGCACACGTCCAAATCCTTTCAGCAGAAGCTCCATTCCAACCCAACCATCCCGTGATTCCATGTCCTCCAAGCTCCATTCCAACCCAACCATCCCACGGTTCCATGTCCTCCGAGCTCCATTCCAACCCAACCATCCCCAGAAAACACAAGGAAGCCTGGAGATGAAAACTGCCACCTCCCCCGGATCCCAAGGCCCATCCCTGGTCCCTACCTCTCCTTCGCTCAGCAAACCAGGCATCAGCTTGTGCTAAGAGCTGCTTCAGAGGCCCGTTCCAGGAAGGCACCAGCTGCAGGAACATCCACTAGGTAACACAGACAGACCCCAGTCAGCCTGGCACATCGTTTCTCCCACGAGCCATAGGTGTGTTATTAAAGCCACGTCTCCATCACGCCCCACCGTTCCCCATCCTGCACCAAGTGCTCACAGCACATTTCACGGGGCTCCAACTTGCTGCTTCACACAGCAGCGCCTGGGGAGCAGCAGGTCGGCGCCCCGTGCCAGGTACCTTCTTGAGGGCAGTGTACAGATCCATCTCCACTTGCATCACAAAGAGGTTAGAAGAGCTGATCAGCTGCTTCATGAGGTTGATGCTGAAAAAAGAGTAAAGTAATGATCACGGGGGTTCAGGGAGAGAAGGAAGAGTTGGGAATCCGCACAATCCATCAACAGCCAGCACCAGAAAGGCACCAAACGTGGCTGCAAACTGAAGGACGAATACCTGAGTTCTTTGAAGAGCTCCACGCTCTGGTGAGTCATCAGGTTGTTCAGGAGCCACTCGAGGCACCTGGGTTAAAAGCAAGCAGTCAGTGCCTTCCTTTTTCCCTGGGGATGTCAGCAGGTCAGGGGCACAGAGCTCGAGGCGGACAGCTTGAAGTGACGAGGAGTTGCTGCTCACTGGGATCCTGCCGTGCTGTGCAGGGAGCATCCTGCAGGACGCTGCCTCACCTTTTCTTCACCGAGTCCAAGCCGTACGTCCCCGCCGAGCTGTAATAACTGCACACGGTTTTGGCACTGATGGTTTCCTTCATCGTCTCCCCGCACTGCAGGATCAGGCCATCCTGCAGAAAGGGAAGGGGGGGAAAAAAACAAGCAGAAACACTGGGTTTCACGCTCCGAGCAGGAAGAGGGAGATGCAGCACAGCTCAATGTCACCCCGCAGCGACGGCTGGCGCCACAGCGACCTCCGCTCTGCCGGCAGCGAGCAGCCAGGCCGCTCTTGAGCTCCACCAAAACCCATCAGCAGCGCCAGGGCAGACAAACACCGAGCTGCTCCAGCACCGCTTCCACACACAGCTGACAATTTCCACATCACCACCGCAGCCCAGCCGTTTTCCAACACGGCCACGGCGCCGCGTTCTGCTGCTTCGCTCTCCTCGCTGCAGGAAGGCAGGAAAGGCCCCGCTGCCCACTCACCAGCTGCAGCATGCAGGCGGCCGCCAGCAGGGCAACAACTCGGCCGGGTTTTATCAGCACGTCATCTCGGTACAGCGAGCCGAACGCCACCTGCAGGGCTGGGAGGGGAAGAGCAGCACAGCGCTCAGCGCCCAGCTGGCAGGAGCCGACACGACTCCCCGCGGCAGCGCTGCGGGCTCCACTCACCCTCTATGTCAATGTTCTGGTCGGGGATCTCCAGCTCGATGGTGTCCATGCAGGATTCCTTCCAGGAACCGCTAAACATGCTGGAGAAGTATCCTGACTGCAGGAGGGCAGAGGAGAGAGAAGGAGGTCGAGTTGGAAACGGCACTCGAATGAGAAGCACGGGCAGCTGCGCGTGGAGCTGAAGGTTGTTCCCCTTCACACAGAGAACAGGCAGCGTGCAAGGCACCCTGGTGCGCTGAGAAAGGCCTACGTGTGCTCAGTTTGTGTCTGAAAATGCACCCAGAGAATCTGAACTGCGCCTCTGCAACCAAACACAAGAGCCCAGCAGGGCCAGAAGAGCCGCGCCAGCTGCTTTCCTCCCAACCCCACCAGCATTGGGGTACAATGAGTCCAGGAGCTGCATCCTTAACGACACCAGCGGGCCACAAATCCTGTGGGCATCAGGGAACCCGCTTTGGGTATCAGAGGGAAAAAAACAGCATGCAAGACATAGAAATTGATGTACAAGGTGGCAGCCTCGCACCAAGGACACGTACACAGACACCACCGATGGAAATATACCTTCAGGGCAAGGTATTTTAAACTAGAGGGTGAAAGGTTTCCGTCCAAGCGGAGCGAAATGCGCTGCTCTGCTAGGAGCCACGACTTTCCTCCCCAGCAGTGGATGTGCACACAGGGAGATGCATCACCCACTGACGTCTACCTGAGAGATCAGAAAAATAAAGGGTTTGTGTGGCACCGCGGCCCTGAGCTCCGCGTCGGTTCTGCTCTGGCACCCATGGGTGGGAAACGGGAGGTGAAAGGAGAAGATGTGAGGTGTTGTGAGGGGCAGCGCAGCTCCTGCTGGCGCCACGCGGCACCCACCTGCCGCAGGTACACTTTGTGCAAGTTCCACTCCTCTCCCAGAGCGCAGATTTTGATGTCGCTGTTTTCTCCGTTCAGAAACAGAGTCTGGTAAATATACATGGAGGTGCTTTTCAGCTTTTTCCTACGTGAGAAGGGTGACAGAGATGCTGCTTTCAAACGTCACGTGCCACAAAAAACCCTCGGCAAAAAGGGGTCCTTCTCCCCAGAGCAGTCGGATCCCCTCTTCCCCACCCTTACCCCCAGGTGCCCCCAGGTGAGTTCCCACATGACCAGCAGCCCCCAGAGCCCCCCAACATGCCCCAGGCCCCACACAACGTCCCAAACTCCTTCCAATAAGCCCCAACCTCCCCAAAATGGCCCCAAACGGCCCCCAGCGGGCCTCAAACCCCACACCCCACCAGACAGACCTCCCCAAACAGGCCCAGACCTCCTCTAACAGCTCCAGATCCCCCAGCACATCCCAGACCCCCTCAAACTGGCCTGCAATCCTTTCAGACAGGTCCCAAATCTTCCCAACGTGCCCCAGACCCCAGACGTGGGCCTCAATCAGT